ATGGCGTAGATCTCCTCTCTAGTCGCACAGTCAGATGTCGAGCAGGGCAATGATCCCGAGAGGGCGCGCGATGCATCGTAGAGCACGGCATAGTAGGGCGTAGAAGAGCACGGCAGAGCGTAGTATGTCATAGCATGGCGTGGAGTTGCGTAGTGAAGAATTGCATCACAAAGCGTTGAACCGCAACAAATGGCATCGCACAGCGGCACAGAACATACTATTCAATAGCATGACGTTGAAGACCAAAGCGTAGCATGACATAGCATGGAGTGGCACTGTGTAGTCCAGCACTGTATATCCTAGGATTGCAGCTGACGGCATGGCATCGCACAGCGGAACACCACAAAGCATTGAATTGCATTGCATGCCGTGGCATGGTACTGGAAATAATGACGCCAGCGCTGCAATGGGAGCACGATTCGGAACGAGCGGAAGCGCGGGAATGGGGCCAGCGCCGCAGCGGGAGCACGATTCGGAACGAGCGGAAGCGCGGAAATCCAGCGCTGCAGCGGGAGCACGATTCGGGACGAGCAGAAGCCCGAAAATGAGGCCAGCGCTTCAGCGGGAGCAACATGCTGAAAACAACAACAAAAAAAAACAAAAAAACAAAAAACTGAACTCCTGGGAATCCTATTTAAACAAAAAACAAAAAAAACAAGAAAACCACATACAAAAAAAAACAAAACAACAAAACAAAAACAAAAAAAAAAAAAAAAAAAAAAAAAAAAAAAAAAAAAAAAAAAAAAAAAAAAAAAAAAAAAAAAAACGCCGAGGGGGGGGGGGGCAGAACATCTTCCAGGCGTCTTCAGGGAGAGGGGAGAGTAGTATTCATAGTGTGTAACTGTGGGGGAAAAGGAGGGGGAGACAGGAGGTGGAAGAGGGGGAGAGAAGAGAAAAGGACGAGAGGCATGTGAAAAGACGAACACCCAAAGAATTGCTTCCCATAGGGAAATAGAACAAACAATCAGCCCAAAACAAAACGGACATTGTGGTCCCAATCAGACGACCCGCAATCACGAAGACCCGATGCGTGCACGGAATCCCAGGAGCAGAGATATACGAAGTCCTAACAACAACGAGCATCACCCCATTGTGATGCGGGCATTCACCACAACCATCGCGCGCTTCGCGCGAGTTCAAGTTCTAGCTAGCTTTGAGAAGAGCGCATAGCGCGAAGCAAGTCCTCCTGGAATCAGCGGGATCGGGGTCTTCGAATTCTCTGCGGCCATGGCGGAAGATGCCGTTCGGGGAAGTGCGTCCAATGCGAGCGGCACGGTTCCTAGTGTGCTGTTCAGGGTTTGGGAATGACGTGTGTGCGTGCATATATATATATTATATATATATATATATATATATATATATATATATATATATATATATTTATTTATGTGTTATATTCTCATACGCACCTCTCCGAGGGAGTAGAGCTCAGAGGCGATTAATGCGTCCGTCGTTCGCGATGTTTCTGGCCGTTTCGCTCGGGACATCCTCGAAATTCTGAAAATCGGTGGCACCCCTCACGCAGATCGTGACGTCAGGGTCCAAAAACACATAGGATTTCCAACATGTTATCATAAAACCTTCAAAAACACATGGTAATTTCAATGATTTTGACTCCGATTCTCAGAGAATGGCGGTTTCGCCTGAGACATCCTCCCAAAATCGAGCCCCAGACCCCTCCTCGGAGCCTCCTGGGGGCCTCCTGGAACCTCCTGGGGCCTCCTGGGGCTTTCTGGACCTTCTGGTACCCCAGACCCCGCCTCGGAGCCTCCTGGAGTTCTCCTGGGCCTGCTGAGGCCGCCTGGGGCCTCCTGGGGCCTCCTGGGGCTTCAGAACTACATGCACACACAGAGACACAAATCACGCCCAACACATCACACGCTAGACAAACATAACATACACACACACACACACACACAACACCGACAACACGCAAAAAGCACGCACCACACAAAGCACACATCACACACACACACACACACAACACTCACAATCCTGGGGCCTCCTGGAGCCTCTCCTGGTATCCAAGTCGGGCCTCCTGAGGCTTCCTGGGGGGCCCTGGTACACACATCGCAAGGTGTGGCAACCCCACTTGCGCTCGAGTGCGACTTCGCTGTTGCATGTCACTCCTGCTTCAAACGCCCCTTCAGCTTGTTGTATGAGCCTGGGCACACACGTGCCACTTGTATATATATATATATATATATATATATATATATATATATATATGTTTGCGGCTCGGGACGGTTATTGGGTTATTTCGTCTGCCAGGGTCCTGATCTCGAGTCGGGTCTTGATTCGGGCTCGGTTCTGGGTGTATGTTGGGGACGGGTGATGGGGGAGGAGGCGGAAGGGAGGAGTTCAATGAAATAGGGGATCAGGGAGAAAGAAACGGGGAGAAAGGATGGAGGAACATCGAGGACTCAGGAAGAAGATAGGGGATGGAGGGAGGAGGGTGCAGGCGGAAAGGGAGGGAGAGGTAGACACGCGGAGGAAGGGGGAGGGAAGATGGAGGAGGGACTGAGTAGCCAGGAGGGAGAGGGAGGAGGGGTGCATACAGGGGAGGGCGAGACAAGGGGTAGACAAAAAGGCTACAAGAGCAGCGAGCGGGGGCGGTTGGAGGGAGAAGGAGGGAGAAGATAGGACTCCTATCTTGAGGAGTGCGAGGGAGAGGAAGAAAACTCTCCCTCCTCAAGATGGAACTCCTACCTTGAGGAGGGACAACATGTGTCTCAAGTCTGAGGGGAGAGTTGAGAGGCAGGAGGGAGGTGGTGGGAAGCGGGGAACTCCAAGAGAGGAGGGAGGAGAGCAGGCGGGAGGAGGGACGGATGAGCATCGAAGACATGGGATGGAGGACAGGGAGACGGGAGGGGAGACGGGGCAGAGTGACAAGTATACCACGTGGCCACAGCTGACGTCAACCCATGTGGATTGTGGATAGCCAGGCAGACTGGTTACACTATTGATCCCCGCGTTCTCTATGACCCGTCCCCCTGAAAGCGACACCCGTGGACGAGGACCTAAGGTTGACACAGATGAAGGATGGACGTATCACCGCCGAAAAGGGGACGGACGAGGACGAGGACGACCCAAGGGGAGGAGCAAGTGGCGGATGGTGAATAGGACGAAAGAGTTGCGGACTAGGAGAGGATAAGAGGACCAAGCAGCGCAGTTCTGGTTTAGGGGTGGCTGTGGGAGTTTGGACCTAGAGGGCCGGACGCGTATCCTGTTCCTGCGCAGGTCCAGGAACAGCTTCGGCGGATTGTCCTCCGGACTGCAACAAGGCCCATCATCTGCCTTTTCGCTCTCCCTGCCCATCTTTCCCCCTTTCGCCCTCTCTCCCCTCGAACCCCCCACACATGCCACCGACCCTTCGCCCCTTCCCTCCCTCCCCTACCGACACACTCCCCTTCTCCTCACCCTCCGTCCGTTAGCAATTTGAAGCGGGTGGTTCCACTCAAACTTAGAGGTACCCCTTTCTGTGAGACCTCCATCTGCCATGCAATGAGAAATTGAAGAAATCCCCCTCCTCCGGACTAGCTATGGACAGGTAGGTAGAAGGATGTAGTAGTGCAGCACAGCAGTAGATAGCAGAAGCACGGATGGCATGTTTCAGTAGAGCATGAGCATTGGAGCATTGCATTCTTCGATCTTCTTCCATAGCCCCTTCCGGCGAAAAAGCATTTTCATGGTAGCGAGTGTAGGCGGCTCGCACGCGCCCGGCGGCGCGCGATGAATGCCTAGCAAGAGAGGCACCAGAGGAGCCTCCCGGACCCGCGACCGCGAGGTACGCGGGCACCACCGCCGCCTGCTGGGCGGCGCACCGGGACTTCGGCTGGCAGCGGGTAGCTCCGCGCCGAGCCGTGGTCCGAGGAGGAGAGAGGAGCCGGCGGCGGAAGCGGGCAGCCCCGCTCCGCGCCAGGTGCTCCTCAAGGCACGGTCGAAGGCTGCGGGTAGACCCGCGCCTTCCCGTGAGCAGGCCGGGCACCGCGGCCCGGAAGAACCTCCGGCGCGGCGCAGGAGGCGCCGGCGCGGGAGGCGAGAGGAGGCTGAGGAGGCTGAGGGATCGCCAGACGACCCACCAGCCGCACTTGAGGCGAGGGAGAAGGGCTTCCTCGAGGTAAAGATCGAGCAGATCTTCTTTCGCCGTAGGAACGTGTCGCCGGGTGGCGTGCGTCCACGAACAGAAGGAGGGGACGCGCGAAGTCCGTCGGAGGCGGCTGGGCAGCCGGAGACGGTCGGGAAGCGCGCCGGGGCCAACCAAGAGCCCCCACAGCATCTCTCGGCAGCGGGGAGCTCCGCGCTGAGGGAGGTGAAGCAGGAAAGGGGCGAGAGCCATGGAGCAGCAGCTTCAGCAACTGGCAGCGGAGCTCAGGCAGCTCCGGCAGGAGAACGCGCAGCTGGCAGACACGGTGAGGGTGCAGCAGCAGACGCTGGAGGCGATCCAGCAGCGCCCCGCCGCAGGACCAGGAGGAGGCGCGGCAGCAGCAGCAGCAGCAGCAGCGGCGGGAGCACTTTCCAATGAGGTCGTGGAGAGACTCATTCGTGCTCTTGACGAGCAGACGCGCACCTTCGCTGCCAGGAGCCGGCCGAGCCTGGTTGACAGCAAGGGCGTCGGCAGACCAGCTGCTTTCAACAACGACGAAGCTCGATTCCCAGAGTGGGCCAAGAAGACAGAGGACTATCTTCTTGGAGTCGAGCCGGCCTTGGAACAGGCCCTTGAGTGGGCGCTCGACCAGGACGAGGAGATCACAGCACAGCGGGTGCTGGAATCTTTCGGACCAGGGAGCGATCATGTCATAGACGGCGTCGTTGGACTCAACTTGCAGGTGAAGACGGTCTTGAGCAACCTCACAGAAGGTGAAGGTTGGACCATCGTACAGAACGCTGACAAGAACGGCCTAGAGGCGTAGAGGCGCCTGCACAGACGCTTCGACTCCCTGACTGGGGGGCGGCGCAGGAGCCTCTTACGAGCCATCCTGGCGCCGACCAGAGTCAAGATGGACGAGCTCGGCTCGGCCTTGCAAACCTGGGAGGAGATGGTGAGCCGTTACAACAAGAAGTCGTTGAAGCTTGGCGAACCGGCCATTGCTGACGACTTCCTGTGCTCAGCGTTGGAAGCCCTAGTGCCAGACGATTTGGAGAAGCACCTGCAACTGAACGCATCACGCCTCAAGAAGTACAACGACATGAGGCAAGAGGTGATGACGTACTACGAAACACGCACGGGCAAGCTGGTCAAGGTGACGCTGAGGGACCGCATGCCGCAGGCAGGAGGTCCAGGTCCAACCCCCATGGACGTTGACGCCGGATCGCTTGCGAAGGGCGGAAAAGGAAAAGGCAAGGGCAGCGCAGGCAAGGACGCGAAAGGAAGAGGCAAGGGAAAGCAGCAGCACCAGCCGCAGCAGCACCAGCCGCAGCACGGACAGCAGAAGTTCGAGGGCTACTGCGACAACTGCGGCAAGTACGGCCACAAGAAGAAGGACTGCTGGGCGCCCCCGCAGACAGGAGGAGGAAAAGGAAAGAGCAAGAAGAGCGGCAAGGGCAGCAGCAGGAAAGGGAAAGGAGCAGGAGCGCTAGACGAAGGAGGAGGAGAGGGAGAGAAGGAGCCAGAAGGAGAACAGGGAGGATTGGATATGGGTGCCATCGAGATCGCTGCCGTGAGCACGACCGACGGTTCCGAGTATGTCCGTTTCAACCTGGACAGCGGGGCTGCAGCGACGGCCTACCCTAGGGAGTGGTTCGCGGGTAGCTCCGCACCGATTCCCTCTCCAAATCACTCTGGATACATAACGGCGTCCGGAGAGCGCATCCAGGACTACGGAGGCGTTCGTCTGCACTGCAAGGACGAGAACGATGCCCGAAGGTGCATCACTGGTAGGAGGAGCGACGTGCGCAAGATATTGGCATCAGCGTCCCAAGTGTGCGAGAAGGGACGCCAGCTGATATGGTTAAGCGCAGACGGGGGGTACGTGATCCCCAAGGACGGCCGCATCGGGAAGATGCTGCAGAAGGAGCTCGATCGCCTGGTGAGGCGTTTCGGCGACGACTCGCTCCTGCCAGTGTACCGAGAGAGGGGCGTCTACAACTTCTACATGAAGGTGGAGCGCGCGGAAGACATCGCGCCGCTTGGCCTGTCGCCGGATTTCCGGCGGCAGGGCCAGTGCCCGTAAGGCCGATGGAGGGTGAGCCGGGTGCGGGTGGCTCCGCCCCGGCCCCGGATGCGGGTAGCCCCGCTCCGGAACCCCCATTGCTTCCAGAAGGCGTTGGGGAGGAAGCACCGGATGTGAAAATCCGGACAGGGCCTCGAGCGCCGAGTGCGCAAGAGGTGGATGAGCACTACGGTATGGGACATGCTCAGTTCAGGTATTGGTGCCGCCACTGCCAGGCAGCACGGGGCATCGGCGAACAGCACCGAGCCCGACAGGAGGACCCGGAAACAGCTGATCCTGTTGTGTGCTCTGACTACGGCTACCTGGCCGACGACGGCAGTGAGGACACAGCGTTGCCGATGCTGGTGATAAGGGATCGCCGTACCAAGGGGTATGCGGCGACGGCAGTGCCCCAGAAGGGAGTGCACCCGTACCCTGTGAAGTTCTTCGCGGGCTACTTGAAGGAGCTCGGTTGGAAGAGGTACGTGAGCCGGTCAGACGGCGAACGCAGCCTTGTAGCCTTGAAGCAGGCTGTGGCTGACCAGATGCAGGCAGTAGAGACTGTCATGCAGGAGTCTCCTGTAGGAGACCACGCAGCGAACGGTGAGGCTGAGAACGCGGTCAAGGAGGTGAAACGCATTGTGCGTGCGCAGAAGGAGACGTTCGAGGAGAGGATCGGTACGCGGCTACCGCTGCACCATCCGATTTGGACGTGGCTGCCACGACATGCTGCTGCGTGTCTCAGTAGATACCGTATCGGCGAGGACGGGAGGTCCGCCAAGCAAAGGCGCACAGGAAGGCGTTGGGCGAAGTCGGCGTTGGAATTCGGCGAACGGATTCACGTGAGGCTCGCGCAGGAGGAGCCGCGGAGCGGCATGACTCCTAAAATGATAGAGGGGTGGTACGTCGGCCACCAGACGCGGACGGGCAGTCTGCTGGTGATGACCACCAAGGGGGTTTTGCGAGGCAAGACCTACAATAAGATGACGGCGGAGGAACGCTGGAAACCCGCTGGGCTAGACCAGGCGCGTGGGACGCCTTGGGAAATGGAGCCCCCGGATGCGGTTAGCCCCGCTCCAGGGAGGCCCTTGCTGGCAGGCCGGGAGGCTGCCGGGTCGGCAAATCCGCCACTACCCCCTCAACCTGTAGCAGGAGGACGAGGAGGAGTAGGAGGAGGCGGAGGAGGAGTGCCAGGACCCAGGAAGCTCTACGTACTGGAGGCGGACGTGGAGCGATTCGGAGGGACACCGTTGTGTCCAGCGTGTCTGAACATCATGTGTGGCCTGCCGGCAGGGCGCGCGCACACAGCAGAGTGCTCTCAGCGGATGGCTAGCATGATGGAGGAGGACGACGTGGGCCGGCGTAGGCTGGACGCGCGCAGGGCGAAACGAGCCCGAGTAGAGGAACAGGAGCCTGCGGGAGGCTCCGCGGCTTCAGCGGCAGGCGTGCCACCCATGCCGCCGGCGGCAGCACAGGCGCCGCCACCGCCCGGCGACGAGCGGCCTCGCGGAAGGCCGGTTGCCGTCGCAACGGGCCAGGGGCTCGACGAGAGGTCGAGGAGCAGGTCGGCTGAAGGAGCTGGCCGGAGAACAGCAGACGACGACATGGAGGTGTCGTTGCCAGAAGGTGCAGCGGAAGCGGGTGGCTCCGCTCCGGCTGCGTCGTCAGGGTCTGGAGGCCCGGCTCCAGCGACAGGGGCCAGTGCTGCGTCTGCGGAGGTACCAGGCGCCGCGGCTGCGGGAGGCTCCGCGCCGGCGGCGACAGGAGGAGGAGACGTAGACATGAGCAGCATGACGACGATGACGATGAAGGAGGAATTGAGGAGCCTGTATCGGAGGAGCATCGCTTCCGCGTGTCGCCGGAACGAGGTTGACCTCTCGGCGGAGGAGCTGGAGGATATCACCCATCTAGGCTTGCAGCTGGGAGCTGTGGATGTCCGTGAAGAGTGCCCGCCTCCGTGCCCTGTTGCGCTTTCGTGCCACTTGGGCCTGAGACCTGGGGTGAGCGCAGACATGCAGGCAGAGAGACCGAATGGGGGGCACTGGGACTTCAGGAAGGAGGAGGACAGGAAGGAGTGGTACGACACGCTGGAGCGCGAGGATCCGTACATCCTCATCGGATCACCTCCTTCCACGGCGCTTGCAGAGCTGCAGGGTGCATCCCGGCTCAGGCGGGACCCGGAAAAGGCCCTTCAAGAGCAAGATCTTGCAGAACGTCATCTTGAGGTGGCTTGTGAGAGCTACCGGAGGCAGATGGCTCGGGGCAGGTACTTCGTGCACGAGCACCCCCACGAAGACAGCAGCTGGGACTCGACTGTCGTCCAGGAGCTGCTGGGGCAGAACGCCGTGGAAAGGGTCAGAGGAGCCGTGTGCAAGTGGAGCGCAAAGCCTGCGGGCCAAGGAGAGCCCCCTTCAGGCGTGCAAGGGTTCATCCGGAGGCGAGCCGGATTCATGACCAACATGCCCGAGCTTGCGCTGGAGCTCAAAAAGGGGTGCTCTGACGACGCGGGGCCAGAGCAGCACCGGCATGTGCCACTGACAGGCGGCTTGGCCCGCAGGGCACAAGTGCATCCTCCGATGCTGGCGCGATGTGTCCTACGAGCAGTAAAAGAGTCCATGAAGAAAGATGGATCCCTCTCTGGCCTGGCGGAGGCTACGGCTGGCCCGGTACCTACAGAGCCCGACACCTACGAGCAGGGCAGATCGTTCTTGGAGGAGCACGAGCGGTACTGGGACGACGTCAACGGAGGTTGGCTGGACCCCGCCATGGTGAGAAAGGCTAGGGAGGAGGAGGTAGGATGGCTCCGCCGACAGGAGGTGTACGAGAAGAGGACTCTTAAGGAGTGCCTGGAGGTGACAGGTGCGAAGCCTATCCGTTTGATGTGGCTCGACACCAACAAGGGCGACAACGACCGACCGAACTACCGGTCCCGTATTGTCGTGCGCGAGAAGCGCGGTCAAGGAGAGGAGGGGCGCAAGTTGCCTGCAGCGTTGCTGTTTTCAGCAATGCCGCCTCTGGAGGCTGTGAAGATGCTAGGAGGCTTGATGGTGCAGAACAGGAGCAGCAAGCGGGGTAAGCCGCTGGGGATGCGATTTTTCGACATCTCACGTGCTCATTTCTACGGCCTGGCTGAGAGGACGGTGTACGTGGAGCTGCCAGAGGAGGAGCAGGACGGCGTTCGTTGCGCACTCTTGAAGAAGAGCATGTACGGTACGCAGGACGCGTCTGCCATCTGGCAGCGGGACTACACAGCGGTGCTCAAGCAGGATGGCCACGAGGCAGGCAGGGCGAACCCGGCCCTCTTCTATAGGAAGGTCGACGACTGTCGGTCCTTAGTGCATGGTGATGACTTCTGCGCCATGGGCGACGACGACGCCTTGGACCAGATCGAGCACACCTTGCGGAAGAAGTATGACTTGAAGGTGACTGGAAGCTTCGAGCTCGGCTCAGGAGAGGAGCAGGAGGTCGTTTTCTTGAACAGGATTCTACGAGTGACCGGAAGCCCCGGAGAGGAACGTTTCGAGGTCGAAGCTGATCCACGGCACGCAGAGATGATAGTTCGAGACATGGGCCTCGAAAAGGAATCCGCTAAGACACTAGATGTTCCTGGGCTGAAGAAGGAGGAGGCCGAAACGGAGGAGCGGTTAGCCTCGCCCCCGCTTGTCGGCGACGACATCCGGTTGTACCGCAGTGTGACCATGCGAGCATCATACTTAGCACCAGATCGGGCTGACATTGGAGATGCAGTAAAGAATCTGGCTAAGCACATGCAGAGCCCGAAGCAGGTCGACATGGCCAGGCTCAAGAGGCTGGCAAGATACCTGAAAGGAAGACCCTGGGTGGTGCAGGTTCTCCGCAGGAACAAGCACATCGACAGGGGTAGTCCTTTGCCCATCTTGGTCATGGTGGACAGCGACAACGCTGGCGACAAGATCAGCCGACGGTCTACTGTCGGGCAGGTCGTTTTCGTCGGCGGCCAGGTGGTGAAGCACGCTTGCAACCTGTTGCAAGTGGTAGGACTTTCCTCCGGAGAGAACGAGTACTACGCCATCAGCGCCGGCGCCTGCACCGGATTAGGCATCCAAGGCTTGTTGGAGGACTGGCAGGTCCCATCTAAAGTCAAGGTGGTGTCGGACTCTTCCGCGGCGCGCGGCTTTGCTTCGCGCCGGGGCGTTGGGAAGCTCAAGCATGTTCAGACCCGCTACTTGTGGGTGCAGGAGAGGATCGTCATGCAGCACCTGGAGTTGGGCAAGATCGGTACGGCCGAGAACCGGAGCGACCTATTGACTAAGCCATTGGGTCGTAAGGAGATCGACGTCCACATGAAGGGTATCAACCAGGAGTACAGGAGCGGCAGACCGGCGAAAGGGTTGCTCCTGAAATAGAGGAGCGGCACGACGCCGAAGCAGCAGGGACGCGGGTAGCCCCGCTCCCTCTGGAAGCAGCAGGGACGCGGGTAGCCCCGCTCCCTCGGGAAGCAGGTTGCTCTGCTCCCGGCGCCCCCCGGGCAGGAGAGCAGTCTGAGGGGAGTCGCGGGTAGCTCCGCACCCCCGCCTTGACGAGCAAGCTGGCTGCGGGCAGCCCCGCGCTAGCTACACTTTTCTGCGCAGTGGTGGTCGCGCTGGATCGCCACAGCTCCGCTACCGGTAGTCGTAGGAGGCAGAGACCTCTCTCGGCTGCACGCACTGTGAGCTAACCCAAAGGGTTCCCTCGCAGTGAGGAGGGGTGAAGAAATCCCCCTCCTCCGGACCAGCTATGGACAGGACGGTAGAAGGATGTAGTAGTGCAGCACAGCAGTAGATAGCAGAAGCACGGATGGCATGTTTCAGTAGAGCATGAGCATTGGAGCATTGCATTCTTCGATCTTCTTCCATAGCCCCTTTCGGCTAAAAAGCATTTTCAGAAATCCCTCCTCATTCTCGCCCCTTGCCGTCTCGTTATCATCCTCACCTCCTCCTCCTCCTCCATTCCTTTTTCTTCTAAGTAACTTTCCCCTGTCGCACCCCGAGGCCAGTTTTTAGGGCGGTCCAGGCGTTTCGCCTGAGAGTTCCTCACCACTTGTGACCTGAAACTTAAACATTGACAACCGCTTCACAGATGCAGGGCGGGTCGTTTTCAAAATGTCGTTCTCGCTGTGGCGCCGAGCACATTCGTTTAAAGATTGACAACAGTTTCACACATGGAGGGCGGGTCGTTTTCCAAATGTGGTTTTCGCCTTAGCGCCGCGCACATTCGTTTTGTAAATTCTGCAAGAGATTCACGGATTGAGGGCGGTCCTTTTCAAAATGTGGTTCTCGC